AGGAACCTTTGGCCCCAGCAGTTGCCGTTTCCGAGGAACCTTTGGTCCCAGCAGTTGCCGCTACAAAGCAAGTTTCCGAGGAACCTTTGGTCCCAGCAGTTGCCGCTACACAGCAAGTTTCCGAGGAACCACACGAGGTCCCAGCAGTTGCCCCTACAGACCGACTTTCCAAGGAATCATGCGAGGCCCCAGACCCAATTTCCGATGACCCTGAAGCTCAGTCATGCCCAGAGTCGTCGGTCTCTCTGGAAATCCGCAGTGTCAGCGACGCAGCATCTCCTGATCTCTTGGCTTGCAAGGTGGGGCATTTAAGGTTTCTATAGGGGTTCCGGAGTTCAGATTTGGATCGCACTAAGCCCAATAGACTATGAATCCCCGAGCCCAAACCTCACACTCCCAAAACTCCTACAGCCCAAAAAAACTCGGGCAGGGTGCAGTGTTTTGGGCCTGTGTTAAGGATTTAGGGTTCGGATCTGGTATGTAACAAAAGGGTTTGAACTGAGAGGGTTTATGGGTTTGGGGTTCATATATAATAATGAGTAATAAGACAGGATAGGTGTTAAGAGCCTATTCAGTTTCTGGGCCAAGCTGTAAACCTCTAACCTAAAGTCCCTAAACTCACTAAACCCTAAACCCTAAAAGGTGCAGACGACACGGGAGCTTCAGATGGAGGGCAGGGAGAGCAGGGAGACGACTCCCGACGAGCACGAGAACCTGGAGCCGAAGCCGAAGAAAAAGCCTGCAGCCAAGGGCTGGCCAAAAGGCAAGGCGAAATCCAAGCCGGGCAAGAGCGATCCGAAGCCGTCTGAGGATGAGCCGGGCAAGAGCGATCCCAAGCCGAAAGGCAAAGCGAAAGCCAAAACGAAAGCTGAAGCTAAGCCGTCTGGGGAGGAGCCGGGCAAGAGCGATCGGAAGCCGAAAGCCAAAGCAAAAGCTGTGGCTAAGTCTGAGGATGGGCCGGGCAAGAGCGATCCGAAGGCGAAAGCCAAAACGAAAGCCAAAGCTGTGGCTAAGCAGTCTGAGGATGAGCCGGGCAAGAAGGATCCGAAGGCGAAAGCCAAAGCGAAAGCCAAAGCTGTGGCTAAGCCGTGTCAGGGTGAGCCGGGCAAGAGCAACCCCAAGGGAACAGCCAAAGCGAAAGCTCGACCGATGCGGTGTGGGGATGAGAATCCAAGCAAGAAGTGCAAGCGAGCCTCAGAGGAAGCCAAGCCTGGGGATCGCAAACGAAAGTTGGAGGAAGACGTGCCGTCTTCCATATCTTTCGCACGGCGGAATCCGCCACCGACAGAGGGCGACAAAAAGCGCCTGTGGACAGCCATCCGGGATTCCTTTTATGAGGTTGTGCGACCCTTCGTGAAATCTCAGAGTACTTACCAGGACTTGGCAAACACCCAAAACCCTAAACCCCCCAAACCCCATGAACCTAAGACCCTCAACTATCAAAACCCGACAATCCCCAAGGCCTTAACCCAAGAATAATTTAGTCTTAAAGCCCCAAACCCAAAAGCCTGAAGCCCTAAACCCAAAGAAGACCCACCTTCAAACCCTAAAGTTCCTAAATCTCTAGGAGCCTAACCCGAAAGCCCCAAACTATAAAGCATCCTAGCTCCTAAATCCACGTAGATATTTCTCTTGCAGGATGCCTTTTGGAAGCATTGCAAGCCGAAGCTGCTCGAGCTGGACAACGCCGACGATTACTTCCAGGTTGCCAAGGAACAGGCGGCCGTCTTTTTGAAGAAGCTGCAGTAAAGTTCCCTGTCTAGAATCTAGAATCTAGAAGTAGTTGCATTGTCGAGTTTGGGCATGACACTGTATCCGAGGCTCCGTGGTATGATCCGGCGACCAGCTTGACAAGCTTAGCTTCCTGGTGTACGATATACTCGAGTTCGCTAAATTTCGCCATGCCCTTTCATCCCGAGGCTCCGTGGTATGATCCGACGGCCTGCTTGACGAGCTTAAAGCCCCTTGGTTTTTATAACCCTCTTTGTGCGAACTTCAGCCAAGACACGTTATCCGAGGCATCGTGGCATGAGCCAGTGGCCAGCTTGATCCAGGATCCTGAGTCAATCGACTCGGGCCATGTTTTTCGAACAGTTCCAGTGCTGCTCTCTATGGCGGGAGTCTGCTTTCCAGGGGCGAGTGCCGGCTTCGGTAGTACTACATGCAACTGTTACACATGAGCTCGCACAGTTGGGTCGCCACGCACTGCCCTTTAGAGGAAGCATGAGTCATGACGAGGGATGCAGCTACTCCTGAAAGCAACACGAAAAAACTCTGCAGTGCTAATCTGCCTCGGTAGCAAGTGCACAGGTGGAGCCTCCAAGCCAAGTAGGTATAAAGATAACCGATCCCTTCGCCAATGCAGGTACGGTTCTGAAGATGACCTGCTGGTCTTTCCAGCAGTTTGGCCTCGCCGAGGAAAGTCAGCTGACACGTTTTTCCTGGGTTCGAACGAGGAGGCTTCTGAGGTTTATGTTCGGGTCCTAGCCCTTTCGAGGTTCCTGGGGATTGTGCTTTAGTGTAGGGGCTGGTTTTAGGGCCTAGCCCTTTCCAGGTTCCTGGGGATTGTGCTTTAGTGTAGGGGCTGGTTTTAGGGTTTAGGGTTCAGGGAATAGGGTTTAGGGTTTAGGGGGATTGTGCTTTAGTGTAGGGGCTGGCTTGGATGTGAGAGGGGCTTTTTGTTGGGAAGTCCAACTACTCGGTCTTAGTCTTATAAGTTAGCTTGTTTCGACCGTGACCTTGAAGCTTGAGTTTGGATACTGCCCCCACTCAGTAACAGTTAAAATCTATAACTGATAATATATAATATGGATTATATTATAATATGTGTTAGTGTATGGGGGGCAGTACCCAAGAGTCCTGACGTAGAGCCACGAAGAAGGCCGAAACCAGAAACCCCAGCAGCACAAGACTTTAGGCTTGGGTATGCATTCCTAGGTTCAGTGCAAACATACAAGGTAAAGTTAGTAGGGGCTAGGGCCTGGGTGGTTTTGGGCTTTGGGTGAGGTTGTCTTTGCTGACTAGGGAAGCATATGATATATAATATTCTAGGGTTCGGGTCTACGTAGTCGACGACGAGACTAGTGTTGTGGCTGGGTCAAAGTCACTAAGATCGTATCTGGGATTCTGGGTTCAGGTTTAGGTCTTGCTTTGTTTCCAAATCATTGGCGGTGCCGGGAAGGGGGCTTTTCGGAGGTTATTTGTTTGGGTGCTTTGCTTCAAACCGTAGCTTCGGAACCCCAACCCTGAATCCTAAGGTCTTACCTTGTCGTGAAATCTCCTCAAACAAACACTCCTCCCCAAACACCAACACCCTAAAGCTTGTGTTCCTGAAATTCTGACAAGGCTCGCTGGGCCAATGAACGTTATCCTTATCCCGTTTCCGAAGACCCTCAAAAGCCCAAAGCCTAAACCCCTCCCTGAACCTTAAGGGCTTAAACCTTACCTCCAGGCAACCGGATTGCCAAAAGCCAAGCTTAGGTTTTAAAGAAGCCATCCTAAGCCTTGCTCCTCCCGAATAACCTTGCAACTAGATCATCCTGAGTCCGGCCCAGGGAATCTCTAGCAATGTCTACAGTTTGGAGCCTCGTCTAATCTCTATCAATTTCTACAGTTTGGAGCCTCGTCTCGAGCAATTCAGAAACCCATATGTTTTCCATTTGTGGAGGCCTCAAGCTAGCTTCGAGGCCTAGCCCTAAACCCTAAACCTAAACCCTAAACCCGAAACCCAAAGCCCTAAACCCTAAGATGTTGAGGCCTCAAAGTAGCTTCTAGGCCTAGCCCTATACCCTAAACTTGCCCTAAACCTAAACCCTAAACCCGAAACCCAAAACCCTAAACCCTAAGATCATTCGCAGCCTAGCACCCGAACCCCCTTAAGACCCTGTGGCATCACAAAGATACAAAAGCCCTTAGCCCAAACTCTCTAGGCCCAATCCCTTGAGAAGCTGCAAGTCGGGCTCCAAACATGCCACGCAGTGCCTGTCAGATCCAAGGACAAGTGTTCGTGAATTAGATAATCAGGTTGCCATTCGGCTCGGGTTGCAGGGTCAACAAGGATCCCATTCTAGAGGCAATCGTGTTAGATACCAAGTATGTTCCCGATATCCAATGGCGATCCTAATCGACGGCTCTGCTCAAAAGAAGGCTGTAACCGGATGGCTGTGGAACCTCATCCGTTCTGCTGTGCTGGCTGCCGAAAGGACAAACGACATAGCAAGAGATGTTCGAGGATCAATGCCGACATAGTGGCTACGCTGCCTGTGCAGAACTGCAAAACCTGTGATCGCAAGGTGTTCGCTCCGCATTACCACTGCTGCTCAATCTGCAAAGACTTCCCAGGAAATCACAAGTCGAGCTGTTTGTCAAGGGCAGAGGCTGCTGGTCGCAGGTTTCTGCAGGAGATGGATTGACTGGCTGTGGCTACGCTAAAGGGAAAACTGCATTGCTACTGCACAAGTCCAGAGAGGGAGAGGGAGAGAGGGATAGGGAGGGGGGGCGAGGGAGAGAGGGAGAGCCAGAGAGGGCGAGATGTGCTTTTTCGCAGGCATTCTGGGGTTTTGTGTTGCTTTTGGAGTGTTTTGGGGTTTGTGCTGGGGCTGCTGGCGGTTTTGGTGACTTTTAGAGGTCTGTGATGGTTTTTGGGCTCACCGATTGCCAGCGGGATTAGCCGGGATTCACGCGGGAACAGCCGGGATTCACGCGGGATTACGCGGGATGCCCCCTCCACTCATTGCAGAGCACCAGTCCTGGCTACTCCTTCCTTGAGGTTTTGGCCCGACAAGGATCCGAGCAGGTCCGAGCCATGGAGGACGATGAAAAAATGCGAGCCCTGCTGGCCCGAAAGGAAGCCATTTTGGTTCTCTGGATTGAATGATGCTCGTTGCAGCCCCTCTTAGTGTTTGAGAATGCCACTGCATCCGAGGCTCGCATGAAGGCCGAGGGCTTGGAGCCAGCCACCGCCAAGGACCAGCAGTAAAGGCAGCAGTGTGTCCTGGTTTCTGATGTTCGTTCTAATCTAATCTACTCAACCAGGAGGCCATGTCTCGTGGGACCTCCTGGCACTCGTCCCAAACAGGTTCGCAGGTTTCCACCCCGCCGCCAGTGGCTTCCCCTCCACAGACAACTGGAGATACCCAAAACCTCCCGGACACCCTGCTTGTTGACACCCCCGGTACTTTGGATGTGGAGCACGACAAGGACCACAGCAGCCAATCCGCCTCCCCACAGCAAGCCTCCCAGAGTGGTGCAAAGCAAGCAGCCGAAGCGACTGGTGGAACACAAACAGCCGCAGCCAATCCGAAAGGACCCCAGATCCCCGAAGCGACTGGTGCAAACCAAGCAGCCCCAGCCAATCCCGAGGGACCCCAGATCCCCGAAGCGACTGCTGCAAACCAAGCAGCCCCAGTCAATCCCAAAGCGAGTGGTGCAAACCCAGCAGCCCCAGCCAATCCGCAGCCCCAGATTGCGAAGCCAGCAGTAGCCAATCCCAAGGGACCCCAGATCCCCGAAGCGAGTGGTGCAAAACCAGCAGCCCCAGCCAATGCCACGCAACCCCAGATTGCGAAGCCAGCAGTAGCCGATCCCAAGGGACCCCAGATCCCCGAAGCGAGTGGTACAAAACCAGCACCCAAGAAAATGCTCCCTACCAGCAAGGCAGCCCCCAAGCCCACGGAACAGGACGAGGAGGACTACGACCCCGGAGAGGAAACCGTTAACCCACCCGCACAGGTGAGCAAAGCGACTCTCATGAAACGGCTCGCACGCCTGTGTGCCCCGAGGGAGGACGGGACACACAAAATCCCTATGGATGTCATCGACACCTACAAGAATCTAAGCACTCGTGACGACGTCTACCGAAGCTTCGAGAAATGCGGCTGCGACCCCGTTCCACGGCCTCGATTAAGAGGGACGTCGCACTAGTCGTATGTTTCCGGTATTATGTTCGATCTGGCCAGGTTCTCTTTTCGAAGCGAATCAACCGCAAGTATGAGGAAATCAATGAGAAGACGGTGGAAACTGAGTACGAGTTCTTAACGGAACAGGAGATGGAAGAGAAAGGATGGAGCGAGTGGCTAAGATTACAATAGATAGAGCTGTGTCTGGAATCTCATGCATGCACTTTTTGTGACACGCTAGTTCTGTTATTCGCCAATGTCCTTAGCCGAGGAAAAAGATTAAGGGTGCCAAGAAGAGCTGTGAGAAACGGCCCGGCTGGAAGAGGAGATTTTGTACTTGTTCCGAATAGCAGACTACACATGAGCAGCTTCTGTGCTCCTGATCCTTTCGCACAGGAAGTCAGAATACTGCGATGACTGGATGTACTGGGTGGCTGTAAAGGTGAAAGGAAGCAACAAGTGCCCTGGCTCTAGTCTAGCTTATGTCTCGAATGATACAGATTGGTAGCGACGGACCCCAACCCCACTTGGCAACCCTTCCTTCTCCAGGAAGACGAAACGCCACACGGTCGCCGAGATCTTGGAGGGCGGCGACAACGAGCCGATGGAAGATCCTGAGCTTGCCATGGACGAGTACCCGTTTCTGCAAGAGGGCGACGGGGACAAGAAGACAGGCGAGCAAGGCACTCGATCTTCGGAGTTTTCTAGTCTTAATTAGGAGGTACTATACCCTTGCTGGTACTCAGTACCCTAACCTAAACCCAACCTAAAGCAACCTAAAAATTTAGTAAGTCTGGTATGTTCGTCTTGCTTCGAAGAGGTCGTTCGAGCACGCTTTGGGTGTAACTTGCTGGGACTTCCGGGCTTTAGGGTTGAGGGCTTTAAGGGTTAAGGCTTGTAGGGTTTAGGGCAGGTCTTTAGGGCTTTGAAGCTTTAAGGCTTTAGGAGTGGCTCTAGGGATTACTTAGGCTCCAGGGCTTTAAGGCTTTAGGGTTTTAGGACCCTAAACCCTAAACCCCTAAAACCCTAAACCCTAAACTGGCAACGATTGCTCATCGCTGTCGGCTTTGAGATACTTCGCAGCCAGCAACAACCAACAACAACAACAACAACAACAACAACAACAACAACAAGAACAAGAGCAAGAACAAGAACAAGAACAAGAACAAGAACAATAACAACCACAACAACAACAACAACAACAACAACAACAACAACAGCAACACCAACAATCACGACAGCTGCTACTAGTACTGCTTCGACCCCACACCACAAACACCCCTACCACTACCACCAGCATGACCGCCACCACTGCTTTTGCTGCTGCTACTAGTACCACCGCTACCGCCACCACTTGCACCGTCGCCATGACCACGACAGCTGCTACTTGTATTACTAGTAGCACTACCACTATTACTACTACTATTACTACTGTTGATGGACAAAATTCTGCCTGACCCAAATATATAGTATATTACCATAAAACCCATAGTTTAGGCATAAGGTCATGCAGAATTTTGTCCATCTGCTACTACTACTACTACTACTACCACCACAACAAAGCACTCGTGCTGCTGCATCGGGCTGGTCGAGCTCACTGTCAGAGCTGCGAGTGCTCGGGTCTAGGATAGTTTTGCTTTGGGGTTTAAGCTTTGGAGTTTGGGGTTTAAGGTTTTGGAGGGTTTGGGGTTTAAGGTTTTGGAGGCTACAGTCGTCACAAAGCCCGAAAGCTAAGGACGAAACGCAAACCCTGAACACCTAAGCCCCCAAACCCCTAAGCCTCTCAACCCCTGAACAAAGACCTTTCCCACAAATCCCCAGTCCTATATCTCGGTCGAGACCCATCACCGGGCCAAACTCGAAACCCGCATTTGTCTTGCCACGCTTCGGAAAACAGGGGCCTCAACAGTTGGGTTGCAAGATAGGTTAGGGGTTTCGAGCTGATTTTGCTGTTGCCATTGTTTTACAGAAAGCAGCTACTTTATGAGTTTAAGTCAGGGGTCCGGACACGAAGAGCTTCTTAGCCACCGAAGTCCGAGCCCCCGCAAAATCCTAAACTCCAAGCCCTTATATATTTCCCTAATCCCTAAACCCCAAAACCCTAAACTCCAAACCCTTATAATCCCTAAACTCCAAATCCCTAAACTCCAAATTCTTATAATCCCTAAACCTCAAAACCCTAAACTCCAAACCCTTATAATCCCTAAACCCCAAATCCCTAAACTCCAAACTCTTATAATCCCTAAACCCCAAAACCCTAAACTCCAATCCCTCATAATCCCTAAACCCCAAATCCCTAAACTCCAAACTCCTATAAACCCTAAACCCCAAAACCCTAAACTCCAAACCCTTATAATCCCTAAACTCCAAACTCTTATCATCCCTAAACCTCAAAACCCTAAACTCCAAACCCAGAATAATCCCTAAACCCACTAGCAACCCTAGCCCCTAAAACCCCTCAGCCCTCGCCAACAATTGCAGCCAGGAGATGGTGAATCCTCCGCCGAGAGCAGCGACGACGGCGAAGAAGCAGGTCGCATCTTGAAGAAAGTGAACTTTCCCGACGTGGGAAAGAAGCCTCAGGACTCGTGCATGGCCGTTACGAGTTGCTTGCAAAAGCGATACTCCAAGCTACAGCCTGTGCTGGACAAGTTCGACCAGATACCGAGAGACCAGTTGACGCCATCGCAAACGAAGAACCTCGCCCAATTAGTGTGTCATTTGCGAACACAACAGCCTAATACGATTTTGCAAACAAACCTAAGGTACAAAGATTCCCTCAAGACCGTGATGGACAAACTGACCGAGCTGGAGGATACCTTGACCTCCATCTACAGCAATGGGATTGCTCTTGGATTCTCCAAAGAGAGCCTCGTCATATATTATGTTTGTGGTACTCATGAGGAGGTGGCTTTCGGGTAGGCTGTTTGGACACAGTCTCGCCACTGATCGTGCCAAGGGACCAGAAGAAGCTCCGGGTTTCTTTCCAGACGGCCAAGACCAGGCAACTCGGTGTGCAGTCAGGGCAGTCAGAGGGTCATATCTAATTGTCGTCGTTCTAGCCGCATATGTCCTATGGGTATCCGTGCCAAGGTCCGTGGAGGCGGAGATGATCTTTGAACGTTCGAAGAACTTCAAGCCACCTATCTGATATCCCCAAGCACTAAAACCCATAAACCCCTAAGCCTGAAACCGCTGAACCCCCAAACCCCTGAAACACTAAACCCCTAAGCCCTATTGTCCTAAAGCCCTAAACCCTAAATCCATGAAGCTTTAAAGCCCTAACGCCTTAAAGCCCTAAAGCCCTAACGCCTTAAAGCCCTAAAGCCCTAAAGCCCTAAAGCCTTAATCAGCCCTAAGCCCTGAACCCCTAACACCAAAAGCTTGATGAATCCTTAAACCACAAAGCCAGCTGTTTGCTTCGTTTGCATGTTGTCGTGTATCGCTGGTGATGTATGTCTACTCACTAAGGTTTGCCGTGAAGCCCGAAGACAAGCCCGTGCCGAAGGTGAAAGCAAAACCCAAGGGTAATCCGAAGGCCAAAACGGCCGGCAAGAGGCCCTCGCCCGATCATGACGAGGACGAGAAGCCGCCGAAAAAGCCCAAGAAGTAGATGCTTAAACTGTAGGCCACCAGCTCGGGACGCAGTTCGGTATGATGATACTGGGTTTCAATGCTCAGGAGTTTTCTTTGCTAAGCTGGCATAGCTCGACAGAACTGCTGAGCTGTTTCTTTTGCTTCAAGCAGTGGCTTGGAATGGCTTCTGCACCGCCCGACAGCTTCCGGAGGAAACCGAAAAGATTGCACCCTGCCTCCAACTTAAGAGCTCATAACCCTAAACCCGAAACCCCGCCCGACCCTGGAAACCACGCCGAATAATCCAAACCCGAATCTCAAAGACGTAGTGTACGAGCCAAACAAAAGTCCGACAGCTAGAAGCGATTGGCATTGTGCAATATATTCCCTATGTTTAGAATAGTATCGATACTGACTCAACAGCCCAAGCCAGACAAGGAACCCTTATTCCCGAGGCGAAATCCTAACCCTCCTCACGCCAGGTTCCTCGGACGAAGAGGTGTTCGGGCGAGTGGCACAGTACGCTGAGATGCCCGGGGAAGGAGTCGGGGTCCTCGGTTTCGACATTGGGCTACAGGTTCAGACAAGGTTTCTTGGTAAAGGCAATTATGGGACTCAGTCTCGCTGAAGCCTTAGGATGATAATTTAGGCTTGGGTTTTCTACGTTTAACCAGAGGCATGTCAATAGTTATGATGTTCAATAAAGGCTCATGGAACCGTCTTTCTTGCCACATACGAGATTCGCTTCTGTGCAACTTAGATGAAAGGCCTTGAAGTCCTAAACCCCAGGTCCCAAACCCCAGAGGCACAACTCCCACTGCCACCGCCTAAAAGCCGTAGAACCCCCGAGGCCTAAAGACAACGTTTTGCACCTGATGTGTTCTATTTTCCCCATTCAGTATTCTGCAAAGAAAAACCTAAGATAACAAACCCGAACTTTGTTAAGCCAGCACCGTACCATCAGCTCTCCAAGCCCACACCTCAGTCCAAAATCATTCTGCAAATGTTCTGAGATTAAGCCCGAACTTTGTTAAACAAGCACCACCATAAGCTCTCCAAGCCCACACCTCAACCCAAAAATCCAAAACTTATTCCCGCAATGGATAACACCTAACTAAGTCCTCAGGCTTCTGGTCCTTGCTTGGCAAAGGGCTTGTATAGGTGTGCAGGTTGTAGACTTAGAGACCTAAAATTCTTCCAAGCTTTCCAGGTCTGAGGGTCCCGGGCTCAAAGCGAGCCTCCTTCGAGATTTAGTTGAGGAAAATAGGGGACCCTACTATTGTACCCTAAATAGTGGGATCCTTATTCTCAGGACCCCAAGACAAGGTAACCCTAAACCCTCAACCCTAAACCCTAAACCGGTACCCCTTATTTGATTTAAAGCCAAACGCTCTAGAAGGCCCGACATGCAGTTAGAACCGGTGGCCTGTGTTCGATTCGAAAAGCAAATCTTCCAAGCTAAACCTCCAGACCCACGTCATTGAGAATGTAGGGCTTAGAGCCAGACCCAAGTCGTTAAGAATATAGGGCTTAGGGCCAGACTTACTTTATGGTAATGGGATTAAGGGTCCTTCTTAGGGGTCCCTCCTAAAGCCCCCAGAATGTAGGGCTTGGGACAGGCCCAAGTCGTTGCCTTGCAAGGTTTAGGGCCAGACCCAAGTCATTGAAAATGTAAGGTTTAGGGTATAGGGCTCAGGGTTTTATAGGAGGTATGATAACACCCCTAAGCCCGCTCGAGCAAAGCGACAAATCTAATTTTGTAACCGTTAGCGAAAACTAGTTCGCCGAGGCCAGTGCCAAGGACACCAAGCGGTGCATCCGACAGATGCAACATCCGAGCGAGCCGGAGGCGAAAAGGCGAGAGGCCCCGAACGAGGAGAGAGACTGCCACAGGTTTTTTAATGGCTGGGGTTGCTCTTTGCCTGTGCCAATAACCGAAAAGACCTTCGTGCTGGAAGACAGAGAGAGAGCAGACACTGCTTATATACGAGTCCAAGACTGGTTGCTGTATCTCTTGAAACGGAATCGTTCGTTGCTCGCTGGGGGCAACGAATCTTTGGAGTTCCAGCTGGAAGCCTACTGGATGGCTTACAGGCAGACTCACAGCAGCCATCCGGTGTTCGATCGAGGGCTGGACCTCGGGACCACGATTCCGTTGGCTTTTTATTCAGACGAAGGCAAGGGCCCGAAACGAGGCAACTACGTAGTGGCTGCCATCGAGTCGCCAATAGGTTTGGACGATGTGGCCGCTGACTTTACTTGCTCCTGCGAAGAAGATGTGAAGAAGGCCCAGCAGCAGTTTGTTCCGGGCCAGCAAGTAGCCGGCCCGTACACACCGATGGAGGAGGCCGCCCTCAAGCAAAACCATACATGCAAAGGCCACTCCTACCTCACCAGGCATGTGCTCTTTGGCCTCCCTGATTGGATTTATAAACACCATCCACAAGTCTTGGAAAAGATGACAGAGCAGGTTGCTGACGAGCTCTCGATGCTGTTTACGTCCGGTGTGGAGGTTGCTGGGAAGGTTTTCACGGCTTGCCTTGTTGGTGTCAAAGGCGATATGAAGCAAATCGCTGAGAAAATTGCTTATCTAGACCGATACTATGCCCACTTGAGCACTGAACTACAAGGGTATCTGTCCACATTGTATGGCGGGTACGGGCCCAACTATTCCTTTTGCTGAGCTTTCTCATGAGCCATCCTGGGCTTCGACACTTTATCAGCAGCGACCTTGGGCCTCAACACCTGCTTTGTGCAGTGTGCCGTTCGACGCACTTGCACCTGAAAAAGTGCTGAAGTACGACATATTCCATTGCTTTAAGCTTGGCTTGGGCCGGGATATCTGTGGATCAATCGTTTTACTTGCTCGCCTGGGATATTACGACGATCCTGCTGGCACCGATGACAGAAATATCAAGTCAAGGCTGAACCGGGGCTATCAGCATTTCAAGCTCTGGCGATTGGCAGCCAGTAAGACGGCTGCTTTGAGATACTTTTCGCCAAGCCTTTTCAACCTCAAGAGGCTCACGGATTTTGCTTGGTCGAGCACGAAGGGGAGCGACACGACGCTACTTCTGGAATATATCAAGTTCTTTGTCACGATCCTTTTGCAGAGACCAAGCTTGCCTCAGAGCCATGTCCGCTTGTTTCGGATTCTCCGGAAGACGATTGTAGAGTCCCAGAAGGCCTTCACGATTATGTATTCGCATGGACTGTGGTTGAGGAGACCATGTGCACAGAACCTGTACTGCCGACTGATGTCGGTGCTTTCGGGATACCAGACTCTCGCTCAGCATGCCCTGACGATGGGCCTGACTTTCTATGCATTGAAGCCGAAGTTCCATGCCATCCATCATTTGGCATATGAGCTCCGGGTAGCATTGCTGACCGAGGCAAAGCTGATCCCCAGCCCAATTTCTTGGAACTGTGAAATGGGTGAGGACCTGATCGGTCGAGTCTGTGCTTTGTCGTTGAAGGTGTCGACCAGGACGATCAACAAAAGGGTGCTGCAGCGACACTTCCTCAAGAAGGCTGCTTTAATCCGGAGGCATCGAAAGAATCGATCCGAGCAAAAACTGCGGCTCTGAATTGCTCCACGGGCTCTAACTATACTAAACCCTACTATAAGTTCTACTAAATAAGGTTTAGGGCCAGTTTAGGGTCCAGGTCTAAGTGCAGGAAGCCCAAGGAGCACCAGGGCTGCAGCAGGGCTGCAGCTGCAGCAAGGACTCCAGCAGCTCGGCGGCGAATCGCCAGCGAAAGACGAGGGTTGGAGTGCCGGGGTGTAGGGGTTTAGGGGTGCTTAAGGTTCAGGCCTTCAAGGTTTTCTCTGAACTTCTCGTATCTACTCGCTAAAGAAGGATGGAGTGGCGGGCTCTGGGGGTTTAGGGGCACTTGAAGTTCAGGGCTTCAGGGTTGTGTGAACGAAACCCAACTGCTCCGAGCCACCATGCCTCGATCAACAAGAACACATTCCACCCGAGTCGCCTTAACCTCGAACTCCCGACCTCTCGTCCCCAAATCCATTCAGGGCTTCAGGGTTTCGTTCTGAGTTCATGCTGTTGTTGTCCAGAGTGTAAGTTTTCGTGTCATAACATCATGAGTGTCATGTCCTTGGCGGCGTTTCTGTCTTTTTGTCGGCGTTTCTGTTTATTGCCGCCTGTTCTGGGATTTGGTGGCGAAAATAATTGCCGTTATCGTTGGCGGCGAAAATAAAAGCCGCAGGATTCTCTAGGTATATATATTAAGTAAATAAATAAATAAATAAATATTTATATATATATATATATATACATATATATATATATATAAGAATGTTATGGGGTTTAGGCAGCCTCCAACCCCAGGGCCTGATCCTGGCTTGCCGAGGATGCCCCAGCTTTGGAGCTCTTTGAGCTTGCACGCCAGCAAGCCACACGTCTCAATCTGCAGAATCAGCGGTCCGCGTGTCTGGCTACCCATAGGCCCCAAAGTAGTTCCTTTTTGGGGCTCATGTTTAGAATCCTATAAAGGGAATCCCCAAAAAGGAACTACTATGGGGCCTATGGCTAGCGTAACAGCATGCCCAAGGTTGGTCACGATTGAGTGGTTCATGAGTTGCTCCAGATGCTTCAAAAATCTGAAGCAATCGGATTCCTCGAAAATCGGATGCCTGCGAGGGGCGACTCCTGGTGTTGCTGGACGGCTTTGATGAAGCTGGACATCTGGAGCGAGCCCCATATGCATTCAATGGATCGTACGACATCGACGGTTGTCCTGGAATGTCTAGAAGCATGTTATCGTACACTTGGTAATCGATAGGGATTCCTTCTACTTTGTGTGGTTGGGGTGTCTGCCTTTTCGACGGGGAGACTCTGAAAAATGATCCTTCTTTCCTTACTGCAGGGAGGCAGAAAAAGGTAAATCAGGTTCTTTCCTGAGACGACAGCTCCATCCAGAAGCCACTTTTCTGGCTTTACTGAGGCGAGCTGGCCACACAAATTTCCACGATGCTGAACAACGAAGTGTTTCTGATCGCCCTCCAGTTTGCGATTTAGGGGCTCGGGGCTTTGGGGAGTGCTCATAACAAGAACTCTGGTATTTTCTTGATGAATTCGAGGTTAGAGAGAGATGATATACCCTAAACCTCAAACCCTATGAGCCTTGCCTGCCTGTGCGAGAGTGAGACCCTAAACCTCAAACCCTAAGCCGTTCGAGGTTAGAGCTTGAGGGTTTGGACCTGTGCTTCGGAGCTGGGCTTCGGACAGTGTTGTCCGGCCGCCGTGCGATGACCGCTGCTAGAGCTGCTGTCGTTCAAGATGCCGGTGCCCCAACTCTTATAAGACTGAGCCCTGTAGGATCTACTCACAGACCTTGATGCGAATCCTACAAACCCAGCGCTCCAGCCCAGCTCGATTCTCAACCCCATAGACGCTGCACAAACGCTAAACCGAATGCTGCACCAGGCTCCTAGCTTAACCCTACACTTCCCGCCTAATGACCCCACTAACCCTTACATGTCCCTCCCGACACCCTAAACTAGGCCCTAAACCCTATATTCTAAACCCTAAGCCTCAAACCCGAACCCTAGCCTAAACCCTATAAAGACGCTAAAACCCAGTGGACAAACCGGTAGCCTTTCTTGGGTCCTTAGCCCAATCACAAGGTAACCTCGAGGGAGATGAGTGGCGTGCTGTCCGGATCAGACTTCAGCCGATTTCGCACCGTCAGGCTCAGCTCCTTTTTGTTGGGGTTTTGGGTTTAGGGGTTGGGGTTCAGGGTTTAGGATTCATGGCTCTCTGGTGGCTAACGGCTTTCAGGGTTTATCGTCGTACATCTAGGATGTTTTGACCCGTAGCCCTGCACCCCAAGCATCCCAAAACCATGAATTATTCGCTATTGCGTAATTAAACGGGCTCAGGGTTATGGGCAAAGATCAGGCGATTTGTCGGATAGCTCTTAGGTGGCTCGGCCTTGCAGAGCTTGTGGGGTTTCGATGAAGGCGGCTGATGGGAATGTAGTGTCGCTTCAGGGTTTTATACGGTTTGGGAAAAAAGGTGTTTGGAGTTTTGGGGCCAGAGATCTTTGGATCCCTTGTGAACATCGTTATTCAGAGAGACGAGGTTTTGTTATAGGGGTTTGGAGTCTAGGGCTGGGGATCTTAATCAGGGGTCTAAATGAACATTGAACTGGGTCTATAAGGCTCAGGGCTACAGGGGAACTGACCCAGCTCTCCCAGTTGACAGCTTTGGGATCGAATAGTTCCCCCCCCCCCCTCCACCACAAGCCCGACACAACCCTGGAACAAAAAACCTAAACCCACTACCCCAAGCTTGCCCAAACTTGCCGGCCAGGGTCAAAGAGCTGAACGAGGTGCAGCGGAAGCAGGCTCCCAGCCGGTCAGAGTCCGAACTTTCATGCGAAGAGCCTTGAGACTGACTTGGACCTCAGTTTGCTTCTTCTGTTTAGAGAGATTTTGGCATGACGGTTTTGGTGTTGAAAACGTAGGCGTTTGAGTGTACGTACGGTTTGTGCGCTTCGAAATGCTTCCAAAATAAACTTATAACCACCATGAGACATGAGCAATAGGACACACAGCAGTAGAACTAGCAGAAACCTTTAGGCTCTTATGCGCTGCAGCTCTTGCTCAAAATGAAGCACAGGAAGACTCGAGCAGGTCGAGGATACTGGTCTGCCCAATCTTTTCCTTACTACCTCCTGCTGATGACTTATACACGCATACTCAGGCCCACATACACTTGGTTTGTGGGGTTTAGGGCGCTGGGTATCTCCCCTAGGGCAGACTCCCCTCAATTAGAAACCCGATTTCGGAAACTCAATAATAATCTCGCCCCTGATTCCTACAACAACACTTGAGGCCCTTTTGTGAGCCCCCTCAGAGTCGCAGAGAGAGTCAGCGAGTGTAGTAGTCCTGGGACGCCCAGCTCACTTGTCGATAGTCAATCTCCCTTGCCTGGCCCGAAAACGATCGAGGGGGGGTTATTGAAATGTTCATAGAAATCCTGCCAAGAACATGCACCTTTAAAGGAAATGAAGCCCTAAAAGCTAACCCTTAAATCCAAAACCCTCATCCCTAAGCCCTTAAACCCTCCTAAACCCTCAAGCCCCACAAGCCTTAAGTGTCTATAGCTGCATCTTGGCAGGTCATCGAGCGAAGGCTCCCATCCTCCGAGGCCTCGTTTAGGGCTTCGTGGGGTTTGGGGAGTCGACTTTAGGGGGTTCAAGGTGTGGGTCCAGACTAGGGGTCTGGGGGTTTAGGGTTTAGGGTTTTTTGATACCAATTATATATCAAGGATCCTATAAGGGTTTAGGGTTTAGGGTTTGTGATACCAGTTATATATCAAGGATCCTGAAAGGCAAGCCCAATAAAGGAGCTACAGTGGAGACTATAGGTAGGATTGATCCATAATGTTCAGGCGCAGCCTACAGCAGGGGGGACAGTGGCCGAATCCAGGGGCTGTGGGAGAGTGTAGGCAACCAAATGTCGTGCTGCACAAGGGTCTGGGGTTTTGGGTCTAGGGTTTAGGAGGGCTTATAATAGGCCTCACAGGCTTACGTGAGTTATTGAGGGTTTCAGGAATCGAGGACTCAAGATTTATAGTTTCAGGATTTCGCGGCGTGACGTCCCCTGCTGAACATCCGAAGCCTGAAATCCTGAACCCAAGGCCTGTAATGAAGGGTGCTCGATGGGACAGTTTTGTTTTCCTCCTTGTTATGAACGGCATGATCCAACAAGGGGTCCAAGCTTGCGAAACTACGCTACCCCTGTTACATAGTCTCACTAGCAGCTGCGGGTGGAACCTACACCCCAGATCTCACCAAAGCCTCGCCGTTTCGGCTTGCGGTTCAAGGGATCTTTGAGTCTCCGTTGCAGGGTAGCAAAACCGGGGTTTTGGGCTTTGGCTTTGGGGTTTATGCAGGGACTTCCAAGTTAGGGAGTTGCAGTCGTCAGATTTCCTCCCGCCTGGCCTATGATACTCCTTAAGCTTTAAACCCAAACCTCGAACCTGAACGTTTTCATGTTGTGGGTCGTGAATATCTGTGTACTTCAACGGGACGAATCGCCTGTCCGGGAAGGGGGTCTTCTCTGAGTGTGCAGTTCGGTTGTGTGCTAGAGCCGGCAGGCAGAGCAAACAAAGAGCCAACACAACTTAAGAACAATCACTAAGCCGATTTTTCCAACACCTCGGCTCTTGCACCCAAGGCCTGGACTAAAAAAACTCTCGCCCATGAAGCCTACACTACCACCTGCACCCTTGGGTAATTATGCGCAATCTCTTCGACAGCCCTTAGATCCGATCCTAAATCCCACTGGAACCATGAAGCGTTGTCGCAGCTTTTATCCAAGAAGGCTCTGCAATCCTGAGAGCAGCCCTGAGCAAGAACCCGACATAGTCTCCGAAGCAGGCGGTGGAGTCTTTCTGCACCCAGCTGACCCTGAACCCCGCCCTCTGCATGATGACCAGGCAGTGCTCAGCAATCCAGGGTTTGGGAGGGCATGGCTTCACATAGCATGGTCTAGAAAAGCACAGTCTAGCAGGATATAGAGTATAGTATGGTCTAGTATAGTACAGCACATCCTAGTATACTTCTGATAGTAAAGTAGGGCGCGAGATTTCCTCGGGCTTTCGGGTTTCTCTCTCGCATCAGTTTTGGCTGTTATGAGAATTAGATAAGCCCGACAATAGGGTTTAGGGTATGGGTCATAGAACTCATAGGGAAAGTACAAAATACCAGGTTCGGGTTAGGTAAGGACTTAGATTTCTTGCGATTGCTATGGCAGTAATGGAAATACATACACGTGCCAACTCAACAGAAATACTCTGGAGTGAAGACGTCGGAAGAACTACTAGCAATACTTCTCTTTAGGGTTTAGGGGTTAGGGTTTAGGGGTTCGGGTTGTAAATATGCAGACAGATTCGAAGCGCCCACATTATGGAGTATAGAACCCTTCACAAGCACATGCTGACGCTCGCTTCCCTACCCGCCCAATCAAAGAGAAGCCAGGAACCCGCTGCTCCTGAATGTCACGCTGTCTGTCTACGAGTCGAGTGGAGATCTTGATGGCCGGGCCTTAAATCGAGGCTCCCGGTTCTCACGCGTCAGGGGTTTAGAGGGCTCAGGGTTTGGGTTTGAGGGTTTAGGGTTCAGGGTTTGGGTTTCGGGGTTTTAGGGTTGGGGGTTTCAGGGTCGAGGGTTGAGAGTTTATGGTTCAGAGTGTAGGGTCTAGGAATGTAAGGCGACTCAGTCGGGCTGGAAGTTTCGCTTGATATCGGGTTTTATTGCCATGGCATACTTCCTCAAAGTGGAAGGGTTTAGGGGTTTGGGGCTTTGGGTTTAGGTTTAAGGGTTTAAAGGGTTTAAAGGGTTTAGGGTTCAGGGATTCCAGAACAATGCTCCAATACCACCATACGGTAATACCATGTGGTGAAATACTCGAATATCATATACTACTACGGCAAGCGACACAGCGCCTTACCCTCAATGGTTTTGGGTGACCTTACACGCTTATGCCGGGCTCGGAAGCACATGTTCCATTGGGGTGGAGGGACCCTAGCCCTCTACACCCTAAACCGGGGGGGGGGGGGGGGATGATTTGGTTCGAGGGTTTAGCGAACTTGGCTTAACGGAGGAAGCTTGCTTCGGTGTAGTGGCGGGCAGGGGCGGGCCTCGAGCGTGCACAGGGAAAGAGAGCCACCTATTCTCGTGCGATTCATGCTTTTTGTGGTTCTGAAGTTCGAAGGGCTCATGCTGTATGCTTTGATCACAGCCTTTTTGTTTGAGGGTTCGGGAGTTTTTGAGGATTGTTAGGAGAGCAGTTGCTGAATCCGTACTAGATGTGCAGAAACCGAAGTAACCGAAGGCCTGTGAACTTGAGGGCTTCGGAGTTTGGGGGCTTTCGTCTTTCGGGCTTTGGGGTTTAGTGTGCCCATTTTGCATGTTGCGGAAGGGTTGCACCCTAAGATCCATGGTTCCCTAGTGACGCAGATCCTACTTGAGCCACGGCCAGGTCGCGTGTATGGCCTGGCCCTGGACGGCATGTTGCACAACTTGGCGACTCGACCGCACATATATATATATATATGATATTATATGTGTTTGTGTATATATGTATATTATATATATCCAATATAGTCTACTATATCATACATGTACAGGTGGTTGTAACACTACTTCTCTGAACCAGTGCAAAAGTGCGCATATATCTTGACCTCTGCCTGTGGTTGAGTGCATGTGTGTATGGGTACGCACCCATGTGATTACTTGACTTTGGGTATACATCTGTCTGACTACTTGGTCCGCGCAAACCCTAATCCCTAAACCGTTTGTTGGAGTTGCTTGGTCACGGCATCTTATTCGGCGGCAGGTTATTTGATGCCTGCTGTCATTCGGCAGCTTGGGGAGAATGCTGCGAGTTAAGAGCTGCATGCTCTGAAACCCGATGCCCAAGTTGCAAGCTTTAAACAATCGAGGAGAAGAAGCATGCCTCGAGCCGCTCAGCTGCACAATCACAGCAGGGAGTACTCCACCCTCTTTTACTTGAAATCCCTCTGTCGGGCTTGATTCGCGATCTCACTTACACTCGCAATGTTAGGACCGCATCTACTCTTTTCTACATGAGGGCAGCTAGCCAGGCCCTGCCAGGCATCAGGCTTGACAGGGTTTTACGAGTCATACCGTTCTTTAGGTGAGCTGCTGAACTTGCTTCACGTCTTGACGGAACCCGAACCAAACCTTTTGGATGCTTCTGACCTGCAAAATGTTCTCTCTGTGGTGTCTCATTTCTGATTCAGGCACACACACACACATATGTATATACATATATATATATATATATATACATACACACTCGTATATACATTATATATATATATATTATATGTAAGTGGTTGTATATATATATATATATGTGCTCGCTTAGTAGGAGGTTTGGCTTGCAAAAGCCCTGGAACCCTAGGCCTCGCACCCTCCAGACTTTCTTTTCCAAGCCCCACATCCTCCAAGCCCTATTTGCCTTAGACCCTCCACCCTACCTATAGTATGTGACTTTTTGGTTTAACCAGTTTTATTCTTAGGATCCTATAAGGTGACCCTAAAAGGGAACTACAATGGAGACTATAGGTACATCCTGAACCACACAACCCTCCACGCCCGATGCCCTTCGATCACAAAGCTCTAAGGCGGGCTGGCTGTGTCGGAGGGCATTCGAGCCTCCAGCTTGCGGGCTATTCTCAAAAGCGCCCCGGCTGCAAGCATTCGGACAGCCCAACTCCTTCGATTCAGGAAAAGTTCATACATACATACATACATACATACATACATACATACATACATACATACATACATACATACATATATATATATATATACACACATACATACATACATACATACATACATACATACATACCTCGCTCTCTCTCTCTCTCTCATTTTTTAAGTTACAACACGTGTTATTTTGCTTGGAACCATGAAAGTTCAGGAAGCAGTCTTGCAACAACAAATGAAAGTCTTCTTTCGGAAGCCTTATATCTCAAGCCCGCTGGTAATCTTCAAGCCCAGAGGACAGATACCAACCCTAAACCGTAAACCCTCAACCCCTAAACCCTAAACCCTAAACCCTAAACCCCAACCCTATGCGAAAACATCAGAGACCAGGTCTGGCTTTTGAGGCCCACTCCCAGCGCGAAGGCTTTGGTCGGTGCTTTCCTTTGTTTTTTTCGCTGGGTAAAGCAGACCGGATAATGGACCCTTGGCACTAATACAGGAGTCTGAAGAAATGCCAATATTCCTGTTAGGGTTCTTATGATAACTATACTATAAAGGAGCCCAAAACCCGATTCAATTATTAAGGCCCCTACATCACATTGTAGACCTGAAGCCCCAATCATCGCTAGAATTTAAAATCCTAATTCCCAGAGGCAAATCTTAAAGCTTCGATCCCCCCAACAAAAGCTTAGATGGTTTGTGCGCGCCCATCACATGCGGCTTGTCTGCTGCTTCCCTGAACCCTAAATCCCCTTAGTGTATAGGGGCCTAAGTCATTACCAACACTACTTTTACATGGGGTTCCTTATTAAAATTATAGTATCATGGGCCCCAGAACCGTGTTGTAATATTCAGGCCCCTATATTCACCCAAAGCCCAAAGCCTCCGAGCAAGGTTCTGTTTAATCGGGCTTCCGGTCCCGAAGACCATAAAGTTCATAAGCTTTGCTTAGGTGATGTTCAGTCGGAGGTTAGACCTACTTCTAGTCATTCTAGTCTCCATTGTACTTCATTTTCTGGGGTTACGGTTATAGGATCCTATCTATAGAAATGCTTAAACCAAAAAAGGGCACTGCAATGTATGCTATAGGTAGCTGCTGGTGTGCCGCAGCATACGGAATCAGAGTCTGGAGCTCCATGGTGCTGGCTTAGGTTTCGGGGTTAGGGGTTTGGGTTCAGGGTGTAGGGTTTAGGGGTTTGGGTTTAAGGTCTAGGGTTTGGGGTTTGGGTTTCGGGGTTAGGGTTTACGGATTTATGGGTTTAGAGTTTGAGCGCAGACCTTAAAAACCTAAAGCCCAGAGCCCTGAAGCCATCGTGAAGCCCTAAGCCCTGCTACTGCTAGGCTACTCGGATCAAGAGGTTGACGGTCAGAAAATAATTCTACCCTATAGCTCCAAAATTAAGGTTTCAATCAGCCCAAGTCCACCACGCAGGCAGGGGCATTCGTGACTTTCGCCGGCCCCTCGTCGAGAAGGCCTCTTGGCAGCTTCAGGGTTTTGTTACTTGAAGCAAAACGTGGCTGGTGAACTTAGGTTCAGTGTTGGTCTAGGGTTACGCCCCAGCTTTTTCTGCCTGCTCGTCTCCTACAACGGGCAACACACCAGAAACTGCCAATCATTCCTCACTTCTTGGTGCAGGCCAGGCACGGCCCCCCAAACAAATACGTAAACCCTAGCAAACCCCCGTGCTGCGCCGAAGCCCATCGAAAAAGGGTCGACCACAAAAACGAAGCCCAAGAGTCCCTGCCTGGAGGCTATCCGATCTTGCCGTCTCTCCACGGACTTCAGCATTGACGAATGGGAGGCGGTGGAAGACAGCATCAAGCGACCCGGCCTGTCAGCGTGGGGTAGCGTAGATTCGGAGACCTTCCATGATTTCGGAGGCCTTGGCTAAGGGACGATTGTTCGTATTCTTTTTGCAGCAAGGCTAGCAGCCTTGCCGACAAGGTTCCTCGAGCTTTTCCAGCACTAATCTATAAGACTGATATAACTTCGTCTGTATGTTGCGCGCCTGCATACCGGAAAGGCCCTGTGTCCCGACGCGCAACTCGAAACCTTGATGCCCTAGACGGAAAAAGCCAATCTGGTTATTCAAGTTCTCGTTCTGACTGCGAATCGTACTTCTGGCTCCCAAAGTTGTCGGAATACATTGTCTATTTAGGACTCTAACTACAAGCTAGGTTGTGCAAGTCCAAGACAATTAAACACAGAAGAAACACGTCCTTTCAGGGCCCGAGCAGCTCCTGAAGCCCAGCTGGCCGGATGTCTATATCCTGAAACCCTGAGCCGAAGCCCCTGACTCCGAAGCCTTGAAATCTTAAGCCCCTAACCCCTAAGCCTGAACCTCTAACCCGCTGTCTCCTTGCAAAGCAGTTATGAGTAATCAGGAAGGGCCAATTGCCAGTGCTGACCTGGTTCTCCGAGGCATTGTCGGAGCTTAGGGAATCAGGGTTTTGGGGGTTTCGGATTTACGGACCAGGGTTTGGGGATGTGGGGAGTCGCTCATAGTGCGTCTGATATGCATGCATCTTTCTTGCATGTAGTCGCATTGGAGCTCTTTTAACTGCAGCAAATGGTACTTACTACTTACGTGTGAATTAAGTCTTTCTGGATGCTTGGCCTGATGAGCGCACGAGTCGCTTACTCACGAAGTGACTAAGTGATTGTGGCCGCGTGTTCGTCCTGGCGATTTAGCGCTTGCGGCTGCCGGATCCAGGGCCAGGGCCACCCCTAAACCCTGTAAGCCTCTGGGGTTGAGCTTTCGGGCATACGGTGAATGGCGCCGCCAGGGTTTGGGTTTGCGAAATAGTGTCATTATAGGGTTTAGGGCTTGTGAACTATTGGGGCTCATATAGGGAACGGTTCCTAAAAGGCCAGGTTGGCCGTGGAGCAATATTCGTGTAAATGTTTGGTGGTAGCAATGTGGCAGACCGATTTTACATGGCATATACTTGAACTTACCTTCAGCATATCCTAAATGCGGGCTAGTCTCCCACTTTCTCGGATATGGCTGAATCCCAAACTCTGCTCCCGAACACAGTTTGATGGTCGACAGTGTCGCATCCGTATTTGTCCTGCCGGAGTCGCGGGAATTGAAGCTCCGTTTCGAAGAACAACTCGAGTTGAGCCTGGACGAGAGTTCGTAAAGCCTAAACCCAACCCGCGTATACCTCGGACCCTGTAACGCCCTTACCTTAAACTCACGACCTGAACCACAAAACCCTACAAACCCTGAACCTTACCTGGACCCTGTAAGCCCTACCTTTTAGAGGCTTCTTCTTGTCGGGTTTCCTACTTGTATAAGTCTAAAGAAGGTAGGTTATTTGGGTTCAGGTCGTTCCTAAAAAGCCTATGAAGGCATAATGCTATGCTTGCAGGATGGCCAGGATACTTTCCGATTTGCTCACCTCACCTTCCAGGACTGCCTTCAACCCCGTTAGGCCTTAGGTTGCCTCAGGCTTTTCGGACTTTTCTAGAGTCAAGATATCAGAATTTGGGGTTGTGGAGCTTGCGGGCGGCGGCGAAGAGCCTCGGCAATCGAAGTAGCTTCCTTTCTGCTGAGCTTGTTGTCGCGCATGTTGACTCGAAAGGGTTTAGGGTTGAACCGTTTTGGGTTTTTTAACGGGTTTGTTGAGGGTTCGAAAGAGCCTGGGATTGGTGCCTTTCACGAGGAATTCCTTTGTGCGGAGTACTGCTTGGCCAGATGCCAACAGAGCGCTTTGGCAGCACTGACTTTAGATCATTTTTTGCGGTAGCTTCCCGTAGCTCACGGTAGCTTGTCTTCAGAGCGGCAGAACGGTTCATGGAAGAGCATAATTCAAAAATCTCTGGAGGGTTCCCCCACCTCCCAAAGAATTTTATGTTCAGTCCTTACTGCCTAAACGATGATGTCCCGAGTCTAGCGAGTCTTCCAAATTCCAACCACGCAGTTGGCGAGATGATCATGCAATATAGACACCTCTTTTACACTTACCCACACAAAGTCTCGTAACCCCAAGAAGCCCCCGGAAAGCGGCTGCCCCAACTTTGCCCACCGCCAAGCCCCTTTCACTTCCCTGAAACTCGCGGAAGGCACAAGCCCAAACCCGAAGCCCTAAGCGCTAAAATCGCTAAAATCTCGACAAGCCCCAAAGCTCTAAGCCCCAAATGCCAAAACACTGCAAGCCCCTGAAACAACCGGCCCTAAGCAACCCTCAACCCTTGAAGAAAGCTCCCTACATGCGGAACCCCTAAACTCGGAAGACTCTGTCATGGAATTCGGGTCTTGTTCTGCAACCCACGCATGGGGTGATATTTGCATGCTGATTTGGAAGTGAGATCGTTTGTGTCTGCTGTGATTATTCCTCTTGAGGGCTGTTCATGAGCGGTGCATGTGAAAGCGAAGACGTGGTGCAGACGCATGCTTTCTTACTTGACGGAATGAGCAAGTGAATTCTCGTGTGCTGCAGTGCTGTGGCAGCAGTTTGTTTTTTGGGCATGTTTCTACCTGCATGTCTGCCAGTGGAGATAGCCGGTAGCCAATGAGCTGTTTTCGGACCCATAACTTCGGCAGGCTTGTCCCAGTAGTGAGTGCTGNNCCTAAACCCACAATTCATGAGCAAATTGTAGTTTCACCCGACCAGACATCACATGCCTCGCCTGCGTTGTCTGAGTGCGAGCGCCGAAACACCCAAGCACTCTGAAGAAAAGCCCTGAGAAACGAAGGCAAACCCCCAAACCCGAAACTCCCTCAATCCCTCGAAAACCCCCCAAAGCCCCCTAAGAAACCCTTAAGCTCCAACCTGAACCCCCCCCCCCCCCCCC